TTCTTGTGCAGGAGAGACACTTGGGGTGTGAACAGATGCTGCAGGCACCACCGCATTTCCGGTGTGGGGGGGGAGGGGGAATTGACGAGCTAGCAGAAAGTGCACCCCCAGCATTAGAGGGTCTGCAGGTGAGGAATCTCTGAGGGCCCCCCGTTAGCAGCATATGAGATAGGGAGTTTGTTTCAAGCACCTGCTGGGCCCGGGGAGCAGGGAGCCACCCTGGGAAACACGGGAAGAGCTTCCATCACGCCCCTGTCCTCCCCTCGCCCTCCCCTGCCCGGGCTGGTGTTCCTGCCCGGGTAGCAGGAGGCTGGGCGAGCGGACGAGGTTCAGCACCTTCATTATGGCAAATTCCAGACACATATTAAAGCAGAGATGACAGTATAACGAACCCCTATGTGCTCGTCAATTAGTGCCAACGATCACCAACTGACGGCCAACCGTGTTTTATCTGTACTCACCCCTCGGCCTCTCCCCCGTGAAGTAGGTCAAAGGGGAATTCACAGGTTACAACACAGGATTTCAGTACCTATCTCCAAGAGATAAGAGTATCCTTATACAAACAAACGCATCCATCTGTGTGCCGTGTACCTACAGACACTCCCTCATAAACCCACAGTGCCACCACTACCGTGCTCACAATTGCCACCAATTCCCTCATAGCACCAAATGGAAATATTTAACTTTAGATCAAGCTCAGAATTCTGATTATCCTACAGAACCGGACACTCCCGTTCCTGAAAACAACTAGGTTTTGTGACTTGGGAGTCATAGGATCACCTGACTTTCCTTTCCAAAATGGGAAGAACCAGTCCCCGCAGGACGGGAGACAAAGACACTTAACGGTGCGATGCCACGAGCCCCGCGTGTGGCTCAGCTGCCTGCTGGGTTATAGGGCCAGACACACACACGCGCGCGCCTGTCCCGCCAGTAGTGCACGACCACGTATGTCAGAGCGTGACAGAGTATGTCACATTCGTGTTGGGGGTTGTTCTGCTGTGTCTCTATTTCCAGAGCGGGGGGTGCACTTGTGCCCTCTTCTGTCCGGATTTGGGAAGAGACAGCCACACAGGGAGGGGCCTTGCGGGCTGCCTCTTGGCAGGCAGTCCTGGTCTCAGCTTACCCGGGACAGGCCGCGCTCATGCCTGCTGTCCTGGTGTAAGTGCTGCCGGCACCCCACTATCCCTTCTGGAAGCGGCACCCCACTATCCCGTCTGGAAGCGTTCGACGCTTATTACAGGGTCTCCCCTGCCGGGCTCCGGCCTGAGTGCGGGCTGCCGCGTGTCCTGCCCCTCTGGGCAGAGCCTGGCCGGGCCCCATCAGGAAGTGAGTCCTGCTCCTCCACGCCGGCCGGCCGGTGTTGTCTTAGCCTCCCGGGGACACGGAAATTGGAGGAGGCTCCTCGGGGATTACTCCGGTGGCATGCGGGGCGTGGGACGGGACCCAGCAAACATGGTGATTGATTACAGCCGGTGACTCATGGAGACTGCAGTGGGGGCAGCGGGAGGACAAAGGCCGGGCCCGGGAGGGTGTGGGCTGGGAGGGAGCCTGCCAGCTGGCAGAGCAGACTCGGGGTCCCCTCGGGCAGGGCCCGTCTGCTCCCCAGGGGGCCCTGGTCAGGGCAGGGAGGGAGCGGTCACCGTGAGACAAGCTGCTGCGATCCCCCCGCCCCCACAGCAGAAAGCGCAGGCTAAAATAGACCCGCAGAGCCAGCTGTCCCTGGGTGCATCACTGTCCCGGGGCTGCTATGTACGACAAGAGCCACAGGCTGGGTGCGTTAAACAATAGAGATTTATTCTCTCGTGGTCTGGGGGCCAGAAGTCCAAGGTCGAGGTGTCGGCAGGGCCGAGCTCCCCCGGGAGGTGCTGGGAGAGACCCTACCCAGCCTCTTCCAGCTGGGTGTCGTCCGTGATCCTTGGCGTCCGTGCTGGAACACGCATCACGGGGGTCCCCGTGTCCATGCCACGTGGCCCACTCCCCGCGGGTCTGTGCTCACGCCCCCATCCCTCTGGGTGTGTCTGTGCCTCTCCTCTGCTTATAAAGATGCCGGTCGGATTAGATTTAGGGCTCACCCTGCTCCGTTTTGACTTTATCTTAGTTTAACTAATTGTATCGGCAACAGTGCCGTTTTGAAATAAGGCCACATTCCGGGGTTCCAGGAAAAACATGAATCTGGGGGAGACACTCCTCGCGAGTCACTCAGTGGCGAGGGCCTAATTCCCAGGGCTTGCCCGGCTTGGCCGGGGTTGGGGCCTCTGGCTTGCCCAGGTCCCCCGTGCCGTCTGGGGCTTCGTGCCCGGCTGCCTGCGCTCCGCCTGCCGGGCCGTCTGTGCGGACCTCGTGCGGTGAGCCTGGGTCTGGGACAAAAGAGCCTTCCCCACCGTCCTCCCAGGACACACTGAGTGCAGGGCTGCAGGCTGGAGCTTGTCACCTGGGGCCGAGGTGGCGCCCAGGCCTCCACTCGCCCCAGCCGCACCTGGGCGAGGTCGCCCAGCCGCCTGCCTCCCCGGCTGTTTCCTGGTGGGGCTGGTCTGGCCGCCCGAGCAGGGCCCATCTGGGTCCGAAAGGCCGTCAGCCAGGAGCACGGTGAGGAGCAGTGTTGGCCCGGTCACGGGTCCATGCCCTCCCGGGAACCTTCCCTGTCCCTTGCATGCGGGACAGCGGCCATCGTCCCCAACCCAGATGCCCTGGGTGTAGACGGCTTGGTGGCTGCTCCCGTGGTGAGTGGCTAAAACATCACAAAGTAGTCTTTGAGCTCAACATTGCTTCCCACCAGGGACTGTCACACGTCCTCCTCGTAGGCGGTAGGAGGGGACTGGCCCCGTGTGCATTCGGGGGGTCCAGGAGGGGACCCTTGGGGCCAATGCCTTCCATCCCCAGCACACCAGGCAGCTCTGGTTTCCAACTCCTCCCGTTCTGCACTTGGCGTGTGACGACTGCCCTCTGCTAGTCCCCACACACACCCCATTTGCCCTCAGTGGACTATGTGTCAAAAGACAGGAGCGTCCCTGGACGTCACTGTGTTCGCCTCCCGAAAACATCTGCGTTCAGGTCTCGCTTACTCAGGGGAGGCCGGCAAGCCCACGCCAGAAAGGCGGGAGGAAACTGTGTAGAGGGCGGGCTGCACCCAAGGCGGCCACAGAGTGGGTGACAGCTGGTCAGCAGGAGGCTCCTGGGAGCCTGTGGCCCCAGCATGACTTTGTACCTCCTTCCTCCATCTGAGTCCCTGCTGGCGTGAGTGACAGTATTAGGGAGCTCACAGGTGTCCTGGATCATATAACCCTACACGTGCCACGTTGACTCTGTTTTCTGTGGGTGGTGAGTTAGTAGTGCCAAGTTAGGAATGCTGTGGCCTTAACTCAAGTGCCCTTCTGACTTACGCCCACCTGGTGAACTCCTACTCATCCCTCAAGACCCTGCCAGATTACACCCCAGCTTGCCAGCTCTTAATGGTACCGCGTCACAATTTATGCTCTAAAGCTTGTTCCCCCTCACTAGCCTGTGGGCTCTAAGATTAGAGAGGGTCTTCCTGGTGCCTGAATGCCTGGCCTGTGATCCATGCTCACTTACATATATGCTCCAATGACCACAAATTCCTGAGGTGGAAAGTTGAACTCTGACGCCCTTCCAATGGAGGTTCCGGAAGAGTCCGTGAGTAACACCGGATGCCCCTGCTGGTACAGAAACACGGAGAACACAACAAGAGTAGGAAGCCGTGTTTTCCCGGGAGTGAGGTCGGTCTCCTGGCCTGCACAGGAGATCCGTGGGAGGTGGCACTGCCGACACCCAGAGCCGAGTTCGGGTCCCGCGGAGGTGGGTGGAACCCCGGCTGCACTGGGGCTGCTGGGGCTACCTCTGCAGGCACCTGATATGTGGAGCCTCAGTTTCTCCCTCTGGGAAGTGGGTCTAATTGTTCCTGTCCCATCTAGGCATGCTGCCACACAACAGTTTACAAGATCCATCCTTCAGGGAGGATGAAAGCAAGGCAGGTGAAGGCCCACAGTCAGGTCCCGTTTGTGTGAAAACGTGCTCCGCTCCCGAGAGGAAATTTCCGGCAGGAAGCCTCAGAAAGGGTCAAAAATGGATGCCTCTGCATAGGAGAGTCTTGTGCCGTCTGATTTAAAAACCAAATGCGGCCAGGCGAGGTGGCTCACGCCTGTAATCCTAGCTCTCTAGGAGGCCGAGGCGGGCGGATTGCTCAAGGTCAGGAGTTCAAAACCAGCCTGAGCAAGAGCGAGACCCCGTCTCTACTATAAATAGAAAGAAATTAATTGGCCAACTAATATATATAGAAAAAATTAGCCAGGCATGGTGGCGCATGCCTGTAGTCCCAGCTACTAGGGAGGCTGAGGCAGGAGGATCGCTTGAGCCCAGGAGTTTGAGGTTGCTGTGAGCTAGGCTGACACCACGACACTCACTCTAGCCTGGGCAACAGAGCGAGACTCTGTCTCAAAAAAAAAAAAAAAAACAAAACCAAATGCGTGTATCATATTATTATTAAAATGCATTGAAGACATTTATTCCGTACATTTATTAAAATGTAGTCAATAATTATTTTTTTGGTTGGGATGAAAGCAAAAGAGAAAGGAGAGGAGTCCCCACCTTTCAGGACGTGTGAGGGAGATGACACCCCGGACCACGGCTCCTCGGCTTTGTGGGTGTCTGAGGCCGACCTGGGTTCCGTGGCCTGGGGAACTCCTGTCACTGAGCGCCCGGCTGGGTGGCACAGCCTTTGTCCTTTTCCCGACACAAGCCCAGCCCCAACAGAGGGACATTAGCCTGGATTGGAATCCGCCACCGCTGCTTGCTGGCTGCCAGGACAGTGGGGTCAGAGCTGCCAGGCGAGCGACAGTCCCGTGCAGGGGAAGCTGGAGGCGGAGGGAGAGCCCCCCCCCACCCCCCCGAGAGCGCGCGCACACACACACGCATACACACATGCACGCGCACACACACACGGTCTGGAGCAGCTGTGCAAACACCAGGGTATAAATGACACTCCTGGCGCAGATCCTCCGAGTGCCGGGTCCTCAGAGCCCGTCTGTCGCCATGGAGGCCAGAGCCCTCTGCCTGCTGGTGCTGGTGCTGGCCTCGGTGCCCTCAGGCCGGGCCGAGGAGTACTTGGGACTGTGTGAGTACTGCCCCGAGGCCCCAGCGGCGAGCGGAAGGGACCAGGGGAGGGATGAGCGCGGTCCGGGCAGGGGCTCTCGGCGGCTCGAGAGCTGGGAAGACGGACGCGCTTCCACGCCCCTGTGACAGTCACCGCTTGTCAGGGGCGCACTTGCTCTCCAACAGCCCTGCAGGGGTGGGCCTTGCTGTGCCCGTTCTGCAGACAAGGAAACTGAGGCTCAGAGAGAGTTATTGACTTGCCCAAGGCGGCCCTCCCTGGGCAGAGTTGCAATCAGGGTGTGCACCCAGCCCCTGCCATCCCATGGCCTTCTTTGCAAGAGATTTCTGAATTGCAATGTAGGTTTTTACACGTTTACAAAACAAGACGGAAAGACGGATGAGTGGCTGTTTCCCGAACCCCCATTTGGAGGAATTGGGGTGTGGCTCTTTCCTGGTTTTCCGCTGAGCAGGGCGGGGGGCAGCGGCCCCCACACTTGGCAGAGCTTTGAAAACCCCCAATGCCAGGGGCACCCGTTAATCTGGAAGTCTCCAGGGGGATCTAGGCAGCTGCAGGTTTCAAAGATCCCCGGCCGATTCCAATGCGAGCAAGCGAGGGGCCCACCAGGATGCGGAATCAGGGGCTGGCAGCCACAGAGGAGAGTTTAAGAGGTTTCAAGTGATGAGACAGAGTGAACTTGGCTGCACAGAATGACACACAGGCTTGCTGGAAACACAAGTACTGGGGCCTGAGGGATGCACAGGGAAGGTGTGACAAGCTCAGCGAGTTGGCGGGGGGAGATGCGGAAAGGAGATAAAAAGTAGCCTGCACGGGCTTTTCTCTATAGAGCGTTCACCTCCTGCTGCTCCCACTTTCCCTTGGAACAAGGAGGCAGGTTCTCAGTGATCGAACAACGGAGGGGAACTTTGGTTCCCCGTTCAGGGGACCCCGGATTCCCAGGGCCCCTGCCAGCTGGCCCCAGGCCCGTGTTTGACTTCCTGACAAGGTGATAACAGCATGCCAAGGAGGAGAGACACCTAGGCCGATGGCCAGGTTCCCTGAGCTGAGCATTTAGCAGGACGTTTCTCTAAATATTTACACAGAAAGCTGATCCTCCTGGGGGCTAGAGCGCCATGTGGGTGGGGGGGTGCAAACTTGCAAAATGAAGCCTGCAAACCAGCCCCAAACTGGTGAGGGCTCTGGGGCTGACCGGGTTCTGTCTGGGACAGCGGCAAACCAGTGTGCCGTGCCGGCCAAGGACAGGGTGGACTGCGGCTACCCCGAGGTCACCCCCGAGCAGTGCAACAGCAGGGGCTGCTGCTTCGACTCCAGCATCCCGCAGGTGCCCTGGTGCTTCAAGCCTCTGCAGGAAACAGGTGAGCCCAAGCCCCGCAGCAGTGCGGCCTGTCCCCCCATCCCCTGTGGCCCAGTGTCCCCGGGCGGCCCTGGCCTTTCTGGGCCCCAGGAAGCCGTGCACGCCCAAGCCCTCCATTGGCGGATGCCCAGCACCTGCACGGCCCCTAGGTGGGCCTCACGGCTGCTTTCATGCCCAGGGCAGGGACTGTCCTCTTCTGCTTTTGTGTAAAACGCAAAAGCAACTGTTTCAAAAAGGTGCTCAAAGCTAAGGCGTTATGTAGAAGGAACTGGTTTGAAAACTATTCTTTCGAGAAGTGGAAAATACAGGTTTGGCAAGCTGGGCTGACTTTTCAGGCTGTTGTCCCACAAACCCTCCACCCAGAGTCCTTGTCATTTGTGACATGCCCACAGCAGATGGCAGGCGGGCGGTGGCACTGGGCGGTGCACCCTGGTGCCTCTCCACCCTGGAGCCCCCCGCCGTCCCCTGCAAGGCTGCACCTCCTCCCCCTGCTCTCTGGGAGGGGCCGCGTGCACTGGGGCTGCTGTCCCCTCCACCTGGGCGGGTGTGTGGTGGCTTGGGTGGGGCAGTCCGCTACGAGCCATCTGGCATGTCCAGGTGAGAGCTCACCTTCCAAGGACGGGCCTACATGAGGCTCCTTCCTGGCAGCAGCACCCAGAGGGGCTACTCTTGCCTTCGCCCCAGGGTAACAAGGGAGGCCGAGTGCCAGCAGACCCGGCTCCCCCATGGATGCTGGAGGGCCCTGCCCTGCCCAGCAAGGCCGGGGTGGGGGTCTGGGGGCTCCAGGACCTGGAGGGAGCTGCCTATTGCCTCTTGGCCTCCCCCGGGCCCTGTCATCTCACCTGGTAGCCCGAGGTGGGGCAGGGTCCATGGGGCACCTGGCTATTGTCCCCCGTGGTGGGGGCTGGGGGGAGAAGGCCCCTCCAGGCCAATGGCAGAGCCTGCCTGGACCTTCGAGCCCAGACAGCTGGCGGGTGGTGATGAGACTGCTCGGGGTGACGATGACACCTCTGATCTTTTTCCAGAATGCACGTTCTGAGTGCCACCCGCTGGCCCCAGCGCCCTGGGACTCGAGGCTCCGTGCCCTGGGCTCCCTGACCCCACCCGGCCTGCCGCCCTGTCCCTCTGCTCCCGGCCGGGCTTCTGCTGCGAGTTAGTGTCTGGGGCTGACGCTTAGAGAATAAAGACCCCATGCTCAGCACCAGGACGGCTCCCGTTCCTGAGACTCTCCGCTGGTGTGTTTTATTTCTGCCCCGTCGCACTCATTTCTTTCCCAGCTGGGGCTGTCAGAGGGTGTCACCACGTCTCCCAGGAGAGGGTCTGCCCCGGCCCAGGCTGCACCACGTGTGGGGACATGTCACTCCTCAGGCCTGGGCGCAGCGGGAACCTCGTAGGTGGCCACTTCCTCGTGCAGGCTGAGAAAATACATTTCAAATATAAGTTTTGCTTAATGTCTTTCTTGGTGAAGAGCTCGAGCCAGTAAAGCCATCTTACAAACTGGTCCCTTTTTGGTAGTTATTTGCAAACCAAGCCTGACACCTGCGTCACCTTGGGTGGCCTTCTATTTTCTATTTTTTATGAAAATGGACGCAGCCGTGTGAGTAAATCAGCGTCGCCGAGGATCCTGTCTCGGGTCCTCACGGAGTCTGAACCCCCTCTGGGTCTGAGTGTCCCCCCACACCCACCGCCTTCTGGGACCGGCGGCTCTCGGCTCACCCCGGGGCCGTTTCTGGCGGAGCTCCCGGTGGCTTCTGCCGGGAGGGGACTCTCTGAAGGCCAGACACACAATCCTGCCCAGCGGCAGAGGACAGGTGAGGGAGGAGGCTTTCCTGGTCTGAGCCATTTCTTCCTGCTGGAAGAGAGACGCCCACTCCCTGAAAACAGCAGCCCTGGTTTCTGGGCTTCACCTGGGGCCTGGTCCCTAGAGCTCATGACATGCCCGGAAGCCAGATCTTGCGACTCTTGCTTTACAGATAAGGAATAAAAGCCCCTGCTGAGAGGGGACAATGTCAGGGTGTCCCCATCTCCAAACCAGAGCCCTGGGTGTCCCTTCTAACACCCAGCAGGCAGCTTTCTGGGTCTGAGGAGTGCACTCCCAGCGTGGCCTCCCTGCTCCGAGACTGCCACCCGCACGGCCCCCCCCTCCAGCACGTCCTCCTACCTGGACCCCTGCACCCCTCTCCCTCCCAGACCACGCCCAGCCTTGAGGGCTGAGGGAAGCGGGTCACGGGCTCTGGGCCTCAGCCCCAGGCCGCACTGCTACAGCCCACTGGGCGCGGCTTCCTCCCTTGCTAACTGCCCGGTGGCCCTGCCCCTAGGACAAGGGCTCTGCAGCCTCCCTGCGGGGGGACCTTATTCATGGAACTGACAGTTGCATTTCCAAAGGATTCCTTGCCTGCCCCTGAGTCCCTGGGCACTGTCCCTCTGCTGTCGCTGCTGACAGCCCCTCACTGTGCTCTCACCTGCCCCGGCACCTGGAGAGGAAGGCCCCCCAGAGCCCAGGCTGACCTCCCAGGTGGGGGGGAAGTGAAGACGGGAGACCTGCCCGGCTCAGCCTGGCGGGCAGCAAGTGCTCAGGGCTCCGGTGCCCAGGGCCCCCCACTGCCTCCCGGACGTTCAACACGGCCCACCTGGGCGCTGCTGACCCTGTCGTGAGGATTTATTTTCCAAGCCTCTGTGACCCTCACTCTCTTCACCCTCACTCTCACCGCTGTTCTTGCTGCCCCGCATGAGGTGGCTGGAGCTCGCTACCACGTGAGAAATGCAGGTGACAGGGCCGTCCTGGGAGCCCCTCTGGTTGGCTGGTGGTCCACAGCTGGCTCACCAGCCTCCACCCTGCAAGGGGGAATCTTCCAGAACACGCCCTCCTTGTCCGTCCTGCCCACCTTCCTGAGCCCGTGGCTGCCCCTCAATCCGCCCGGTCTGTCCGGAGATGAGCAAATAGCACCGTTGGAACAGAGCAGCTGGGATGGCCCCGGGCAGATCCTGAGACAGTCACCCGCTGCCGGGGATGCTGACCCCGGAATGCCAGCTTGTGCCAGAAATGACGTAAGCAAAACCTGTGGCTCCCTTGTCCCCACACAGCCTTGGGGCCAAGAGGACCACAGGCGTCTGGGGACATCTGCTGGGGTTAGGAGCCTCTCCAGGCCACATGGCAGGGGCGAGACCCGGGCGCCAAGGCTCCTTCCCAAAGCCACGCGTGTCACTGCATCACAGCAGCCGGAATGCGGAGCTGGGGACAGGGCCAGGGCTCTGGCGAGGGGGGGACACACACGTCCCAGACACTGAAATTTAAGGGGTTGCCCAAAGACTCGGCAATCAAGGGAAGCAAGATTTTACAAAGCCCTATCAGCAAACCACATAAGGCCTGTGGACTGCTCACCTGTTTCTATAAATAGAGTTTTATTCTATTAGAACTGGGCTGGGATTAGGGTGCAGGGTTGGACTTGTCTTTATTTAACTCTTTTTTGTTTTGTTCATCATTCCCTTTGTGTGTTGCTTTTGATTGTCAACGTTTCATTAACATATTATTCGTGATTACTGAGTTCTCCAGCGTCCCTTACAGTTTCCACCTGAGGTGAGCGCTGCACTCGCCTTGCCCGGATCCTGGCCGCTAGGGGCGGGAGGGAGGCGGCCCTCCTGTGGGGACGCCCAGCAGGAGGGTCTGTGAGTGCTGGCGGGGAGGGAGGAATCCCAGAGGTCTCACTGCATGGGGAGTGACATTCCGTGTCAGACGTGCAGGCCTAAGGAAGTCCCAGAGAAGAAGAAGACAGTGAGGGTCACAGAGGCTTGGAAAATAAATCTCACGACAGGGTCAGCAGTGCCCAGGTGGGCCGTGTTGAACCCATGTCCCAGAGGCAGTGGGGGGCCCTGGGCACCGGAGCCCTGAGCACTTGCTGCCCCCCGGGCCTGGGCTGGGCAGTTCTCCTGTCTTCACTCTCTCCCACACCTGGGAGGTCAGCTTTTGCTGATTTAGGAGACATGCCCAGACCCTTCTGGACTCTCAGAATTGTGAAACCCGGTTAACGAACCATACACCGTGCATTAGTAAAATTCCAAAGTGGTTATCTTCCCCTATTTGTGGTAGGTCCGCATTGCCTGGTTATGAGCGCCGGTGTGCTGAATTGTGACTTCATGTTTATCGTAGCCAGGTGTCTTTCTCTCTGAAGTTCTTGGAAGAAAATCAAATCTAGTCACTGTCTGGCGCTCGGCCAAGTCCAGGGTCTGCTGTCTCCGTGGGGTGGACGTCCACGCACGCACCCTCTCCCTGGGACTGTCTGTGGGTTGGGGTCATCCAGGAGGCGTCTCTTCTTCCTGGGGTCCCAGAATGCCCCTGGGCGGGACCCGCACGCGCCCCCTGCTCCTGCGGCCCTCCCACCTGCCTCTGTCTCCCTCCCTCACCTACTGTGGGAATACTGGAGCCCAGACCCAGGCAGGGTTTATGTTGTAAGAAGCAGAGCGGCGCCCCTGTCGGCACCCACAGGGGCCTGTGGCATTCCCATGAGAGACCACGGAGCACCCGTGTTGGAGCAGACCCCTCCGTGGGATGGAGCAAGACCAAACAAGCCCACCCACCACCAGGTGTGAACAGACCTCGTGGACCTGGTCCGCACCAGAAAGAGAGCGGGCAGCGCCCTCTGCTGGCTACTGAGAGTGACCGCGGCCCCCCACCAATCAGGACGCACCTGGCACCTGCCAGGAGTGATGAAAATCAAGATCCCCAGTCACAGAGCCACCCTCTCTTGCTGACAGCACCCAATGCCGGCAGAGCCCATCTCCTTAAACCTCCCCCAAAGCACAGGAGGCAAGCCCAGCTCCTACCCTGAATCCTGTCTGCACCGTCACGTGTAGATGCCCCTGCGTGTGTGGTGCTCCACTTTGCTGGGTCCATAAGCCCAACTCTGACTGCATGTGTCCGCGTGGTCTCCGGTGGGACACTGGCCAGGTATAGCCAAAGTGGCTTCTCTCCCACCTCCAAACCTGTCTCCGTGCCCCATCGAGGGCTCAGTGGGGACGACCGGGGCCTGGGACACAGGATCTAAGCCGGGGGTCCCCAGTGGAGCTGCCCTGCCACAGGGTCACTCGGCACCCTGTGGGCGTGTTTCTGAGTGTCATAGCAACGGGGCATCGCGTGGACCCAGGCCAGGGATGGCAGGACTCTCGACGTCCCCAAGTGTCCCACGCAGACTACCGCCTCCACCTGACGGACATTCCAGTGTCCCCTTGGCCACTCACGGTGGCTGCAAACCTGGTCACAAAGATTCGAGCCCACAGTCGACTTCTGTTTTGGACTCTGTTTTTTTTCACACGAAGTTGTTTTTGTCCGCGTTGTTTTTTGTTTTGCATGGTTTCGACATACCCGAGTTTTCCAGGAATGCGTGCTGTATAAACCAAGGGCAGACTGCATTTATTTAGTCTGGCGCTTTAGCGGAGTTGTTTATTTCAGACGTTAATGGCCCAGGTGGTGCGTCACCTGCTCGGCACGCCCGGTCTGCTGCACTCACGGGGGCCATCCAAGTCCTGAACCCCTTCATTCCGTCCTGTGGTGTAGTCATTTGGGGCACGAGCACACTGAACATTGCTATGTTAGGTATTCCTTCCCTTTATTTCTCATGTTTTTATGACGTATCATGCATGTTTATTTTTCAGAATGGTGTGTGGGCGTGTGCATGGGGCATGAGTCTCATGAAGTCGTTGGCACAAAGCAGGGTGGGGATTCTGCGGGGTGGGGGCCTCCTAGCTGGGCTCCCTTGCACCGTCCTGCACGGTTCCCAGCTGGGGGGTCCCAGAGGAGACCCTGCCTGCCCCAGCCAGTGTCTTTTCCCATGTTTTCTATTTTAATCCTGGATCGTGTCTTGTGAACAGAGAAGAGGCAAACACTGACGTATGTGCTCTCTGGCTCTTCTCGGACAGCCCCCCCCCCCAAGCCCTCTCCCCCTCATCCTCTCTGGTCTGGCAGGGGAGGGTCACCAGTCCAGGGAGGGGTCGCAGACTTTAGCGCACACCATCCCATCATCTTCACCTTTGACCCCCCCAAGCAGTCACCCAGCCCCCTCGCCCTCTCCAAGACAATCCTTCTCTTCCCGATATTCCCATGGCGGCTGGGGCGGGGCAGCAGGAGAACCTGGGGTGTGGGAACGGCACCCCTCCCAGCCCACCCCACCTGAGCCAGGCTGCCAGGGCCTCCCTGCCCCCACCCAGAGCCTGCCAGGTCTTAGGTCAAAGCGGGG